GGTAGTTTAGGGCGTCAGGATTTAGGGCTTCGGATGTTCGATTGTGGCACAGGAAGACCCTACAAACTCCCTGATTCAGGCCGAAGGTAGCAAGGCTCCAAACAAACAGGAGTTTCATGACTACAGAACTGCAAATTTCTGTGCAACTTCTAGAACCACTAGAACGCATGCACAACACCTGAAAAAGTTATAAACGATCCCCTTACAAAGGCTGCGCCTGGCATGTGCTGGGCGCCCGCCCGGCCGCCCGGGCAGCTGCCACACAGCCTTCGTGGAGGAAGCTTCCTGCATCGGCTGGGTTCAGGATTGGGGCAGTTGAGCGTTTCATAAGAGTCTGAACTCACAAAATTGGGGGGGGGGTGGTCCGAAATTAGGGGTACCTTCTTAGGGTCCTTATGATAAAGGAAATCCTCCTATTTGGGGGTGTATGCCAGGGGTCCCTTATTTTAGTACATGCCACATATCCAGCTTGGTCATCACACTGTGAAACTACTCTTTGACATTTCGTGATCCAACAGAAGACATAACCGTTCATGAAAAAGCTGGTTAAGGGTGCCCCACTGCCCTGGCTCTAGATCCACTCAGGGCATGTGTTTAGTCTGCTTAGTAGGCGGCATCCTCCTTCCTTCTACAAGGAAGATCGGGCAAGAGTCAATGTACCAGCAATGTGTCTACGCGTCGTCACCCAGAGTTGCCACAAGTAGTCCAACCATTCGAGTACCATCAGCAGGAAGGCTTAAAAGGAGCGAAGACTCACCATTCAAAACGAGGAACAACTACACCTGAATCCTGACCACCCTCCCACATTCCCACCCTCCCAACCATTCCTCGTTCAGACAATAATCGCACACTCTCACACACAAACACCACCAAAGACATAGACAGTAATGAGGAAAAAATGGACGAAACACCCTGACGCCAGATGCCCACAGGGTCCTTCGATAAGGTGGCACCACTTGGCCATGAAATTGTCAACGGGCCATTCCATGCCGAGACGAAACCTAGGAGGCACCACAAAAGGGGCTTCCAGGCCTCTGGGTTTCGGAAATTACGGTTCGAGGTCTCGGGATTGAGGGACATTTTGACAAACCCTGAACCAGAAAAAACACTCAGCCTTCCGTGGGTCATGGGGCTTTCAGAGCACGCAGACGGAGCCTGGAGGCCCAAACCATAACCTTCCAAAAAGCACAACGTCTAATTAGACGCCGAAGCTGTTCGCCTACAAGATCACCCCATCATCCCAAATTATTTGGGTAATACGAACCCCATCATCCCTGTTGGGATAATATGAACCGTGTATTCCTTATGAGGGTAATATGAGTACGGCTATATGAACCCGATAATCCCAATTGGGGTTATATGCACCTCGATTGCAGTTGCTAGCGCAAACGACCGACCGCTACAGGCCCGAAGTGCATTGCTACATCATCTCAAGCTTCCAGGTCTCGACACCTGGTATGCTCAATGTAACTGTCGGTGTCCGCAAATCGCGGTGGCTTCAGGCGGGCCTGGTCGAAACCTTGTACCAAAACAACCAAGTCTTTAGGGGAGCCAAGCCTCCAAGCTGAACACGGCGAGTGCACTAGGAGCTGCGATTAGATGTGCATTGTAGTGGGCTACCGACCACCACCAGCCCATTCGTGCATGCGAGCATCTCTTCCCACAGCACCGGCCAATCCGCAGGAAAGAACAGGCCGGCGGCGGATAGCCTGATGACCAGCGACTGTCTGAAGGCCTGTGTAGCCCTCCCGGAAAGGGTTGTTGAGCAAAGCCGCAGTACGGGGCCGCATTGTGTCTGAACAGTAAGGCAAATCAGGAGGGGAAACCGCGTGCCAGGATAGAACCCCCATACGAGTATCTTACTTATGTCAAAAACAGCTGAACGAAACAGCCACCTTACACTACATGCTCAGGCATTGAACCTACGTGTCTTCCACCCTTGCCAAGCCACTTACTTCCGTACTTTTTTGGTTCTTCTGGTTTCTGTGAAGTTTCAATCTGTGTATATATATATATATATGTATACATAATAGGGCCAGGAAGCACCGCGATGCGCGGGGACGCAGAAAGGGACGAGAGCTTGGAGGATATCCTCGGATGGAGCACGGCTGAATGATTCTACCTCACGGAAGCAGGTTACAAACCTGTGGCAGCGAGAATAGGCTTGGCGTGTCTGACCCTGGCTGTGTGGGGATTTTTACTACACCATGCCGACCTCCGGTGTCCCCTCCAGTGCTGCTACGAACATGAGCTTCCGGACTCCAGCCCTCAAAACCTGAATGCCTTTTTGTTGCTAAGGCAGTAGGATGATCTAACCCGCCCGAGATGCTCCGTGAGCCCTGAGCCCAACAATTTCTGTTGTAGCAGGGCCCCTAAACCCTAAAGCGGCGTAAACAGCAGAGCGGCCAGTCTGCGTGGTGCAGTACACCGATACCCCCAGCACTCTGTCCGGCAAAGATCAGTAGTGATGAGCGCCTGTCAAGAAGAAGGAGTGGGGAAACTCGAGCCTATGTACAAACTCATATGTATATATATATATATATATATATATATATGTCTCTGTGTGTGCGTGTGCAAAATGTATGCTCTCACTCTCTCCATTTCCTTATATGCATCTACACCATACATATACACATATATTTGTTTGTTGTTCCTGTTTCAGGGTTCGTGGCTTAGGCCCCATTACGAGGGGAGTCCTGGGGTGAGTGATTTCATGTGATTTCCGTTACAGAGATGCCTCAGGGCGGTCGTGTTGACCAGATGCTCCACCACTGCTCCGAGAATGCGATGGCCGCCTTATCAAGCACAGACGCCAGTAGCGACTCAACCACGCAGCAAGAGGATCCTGAGGTTCAGGGAGTTTGGAGTTTAGGGCTTATAGGATCCTGGGCCTCATGAGTTTAGGGCTTAAGATCCTGGGCCTCATGAGGTTAGGGCTTAGGATCCTGGGCCTCATGGCTCTTGGGTTTCCTACACTTGCTGCAGGAAGCCACTCAAGAGACACGAGAGTCCATGATCCCCAAGCTCATCTGTTGCCAAAGGTACTCATCTGCAAGTCGCCGACGATGAGCCGGGGTTTGTGGTCCATTCCTCCGTCTGCGCTGGCTCACTGGGCATGACAAGCATGGTCTTGTGAGCAGCTCTTGTTGGGGGCCCTAAATCCTGAAGCCCTAAACCCTAAACCCTAAACCCGAAACCCTAAAGCAAGGCAGAGGCATCGCCCAGAATCTCAGGTCGAGACCCAGCCACAGATCTCCACTGCAGTATGGGACGAAGACCTGTGCACACTTGAACCCTTTAGAAAAAAACCCTAAACCCTAAACCCTAAACCCTAAATCCAACCCCCTGTGCCAGATGAGAACCAGCCTCCGATTCTTGCTACTGAAACCGGTGGTGGAAGGGCTGCGCTGATCTTGTCACAGTCCTGCGACCTACTGTCTCATATAGCGGCCTTAAGAATTGGAATAGGGTTTTGGGGGGTTTTTCTAGTATATATAAATCAAGAAAGAAATATGTGTATATATATATATATATATGTATACAGGGAGCATAAGGGACACTGTTAGAACTTATTCCGGCCCCGACTCTCTATCCCTTAACATCCCTACGCCCTAAATCAACTCGATGATCTCCGAACCATACAGGGCAACCCACATGGCCTGACTGAAGTCACGGAAGGTGCTGGACAGGCCCGTAGAGAAGGGCACGGCCTCTAAGGGTCTGAGAGTTTCAGAAATCTTGGGTTCGAACTTGTTTTAGAGGGTTTGAGCTCAGTTAGGGATGGACTTTGGCCCTGAGCTGGTGCTTTGCGGGCGCAGAAACGTCTTGGGAGTCCACCGAAACCCTAAACCCTAAACCCTAAACCCTAAACCCTAAACATATCTTTCGGTGCTTTTCAGGGTCTGTGGTCAGATTGGGGCTCGTTGAGGCTTGGCTCAGACAGCAACCCAGGATCGACACATTGCCCACTGTATGGTCGGTATGTGTCTATAGCAAAGATGTATGTATGTCTGTTTGTATATGTAGACGTGTATACATGCATATGTGTATATAAATGTATAAATGTGCATGAATACAATATACTTGTATATTCATGGCAGCACCTACTTACACCTTCTTCTTACCTAAAGGCCAACCCTGAAACCTATAGTCCCTAAATCCGAAGAGCGCTTCAGGAGTCTTAGCTCTGCACCCCAAAACCCTCAACCCGAAACCCTAAACCCTGCACATCCGATACAAACCCTTACCCCATGAAACCCTGAACTAAACCCAAAAGCACAATCCTCTGCACCCCTAGAGCTAAACCCTAAACCCTAAACCCTAAACCCTAACCCCTAACCCCTAAACCCTAAACCCTAAACCCTAAACCCTAACCCTTCCTGCCTCTGGGTCCCAGGTCTCTGGCCAATTCTTTGAGCTCCCGTGGGTGGTGGCGGCCCGGCGCCTCTCCCCAGTGCGCGGAGGCACTTTTTGTCCATACATGAGGTTTAGGGTTTAGGGTTTAGGGTTTAGGGTTTAGGGTTTAGTAAGGATTTAGGGATTTTAGGGCTGAGGGTTTGGGGTATAGGGTTGAGTTTGAGGGTTTAAAAGTTAGTTAAGGCTTGAGGGTTCAGGGCTTGAGTGATGTGGCTCATGCTACCCTGCACCAGTCGCATTGGCCACCTGACTCATGTCAGCTCCCATCAAAGCCCTTAAACCCTAAACCCTAAAACGTAAACCCTGAACGCACCCAGCCAGTTCTCCTTCTTCTACTCTGAATCTGATCACCCTCGAGCCCCAAACCCTCACTGGTTCTCGGTGGGGAATACAGGCGGTGCCGGCACCTTGCTTAAAGGGACCATGGTCCTTAACTTCCATTCCATAAACCCTAAACCCTAAACCCTAAACCCTATACCCTAAACCCTAAACCCATTCTAAGATACGGTATCCAGCCTGCAGTCGAGCGCATCGATGCAGAGGCCACCGCCATCGAGGAAAATTACCCACTTGGAAGGGTCTTGCTCACCTCGTGGGGTTTAGGGTTTAGGGTTTAGGGCTTAGGGTTTAGGCTTTACCCAACGGGTTTCGTTATGGGGATGGTTTTTGTTGGTATTTGCAGGGTCGACTGCGTTGGCGTCTATGGTGAGGCAAGGTTTTGGAGGCAGGTTTCTCTGCGCTTCACGTAGACTACTCGCCGAGCACGAGGGAAAGAACTGTCCGATCCTTTGGGCACCGACGTAACTTACCCCCTGCGACGATGCGACGATGCGCCATGTCCGCGAAGGAACAGACACCAAAACAAAACCTAGAAGACACACGAGTGGAAAATCATGGAACAATCCTTGAAGGCCACGTTTCCAGGCAAGGCGGGTGGAGGCATCTTGCGTGATGTGACAAGGCTGGGCCCTTAAAAGCCTTAACGTTCGTCCCTGCAAGTGAACCCGTCTGCAGGGTCTAGGGTTTAGTGTGGCGTGGGGGCAAGGAGCCAGAGTAGACTTAAGCGAAACAAATGTTTATGTATGGGCTGGCATGTTGCAGGCCGCGGGCTAAGACTACATGAACATGCACACCCCTAGGTTCATGGCACTTCATAACCCAATCATAACTGTACTTATAGCCCAAGTATGACCCTATTAGGGCACTTATGGGGGCTTATAGGTACAGTTATAAGTACAGTTATAATTGGGTTAGAAGTGCACAGAACCTTCAAGTAAAGGTCCATGGACCTCATTATTGTACACTTGGGCGGTGCGCTGAGGCCCAAGTCTTCCCTATTTAGGCACATGGACCCTGAGCTTTTGTGTTAAATGAACTCAGTCTGAAGCCCTGGGCCGTCACTCCTGCAACCTACCACATCATGCCCTGATCCTCTCAAAGGGCATCCGAATCTCTGCAGTAGATCCACCCTAAACCTGACAGCCAACACCAAAATCCTAAACCCCAACCATCCTAAACCCAAGAACCCTAAACCCTATAAACCCAAAACCCTAAAACCCTAAAACAACCTATAAACCTAAAAACCTAAATCCTGAAACCAAAAACCCCAAAACCCGAAAAAAAACCGAAAAACCCTAAAACCCTGAAACCCCGAACCCTAAAAACATAAACACGTAAAACCCTGCCCCAGATGCGAATATAAAACCCTAAAACCCTAAAACCCGAAACGCCCTAAAAACAAAAACCCTAAAATCTAAACCCATTAAACTAAAACCCTAAAACCCAAAAAAACCCAAAAAAACCTAAACCCCTTAAACCCTAAAACCCCTAAAGCTCAGCCCGAGAGGCGAATGTAAAAGCCGGCTGGGCTCGAGTCCAAACACTTGGCGCTGGCGTTGGCCGCCACTTCGCTCGGAAGGAGAACCTTCCTGCGCAAGGGTTCAGGGCTCATAGGGTTTAGGGTTTAGGGTTTAGGTTTAGGGTTTGGGGTTTAGGGCTTATAGGGTTTATCGGGTCGAATTAGGGGTTATAGGATTCAGGGTTTAGGGTTTACAGGGTTTCGGGTTTATCAGGTTTAGGGTGTATAGGGTTAAGGGTTTAGGGTTTACAGGGTGTAGGGCTGAAGGTAGGAAGCCTAAACCCTCAACCCTACACCGTGAATCCTGCAATTGAACCCCTATTCCCTGTAAACCCTGCAGCCTAAACCCTGGGCCCTCTGCACATGGGCATCTTCCGCGGAGAATAGGGTTCCGGGGGTTGCGGATGGCACGTGGCGGCAAAGCTTCCGTAAGGGAGTTACTTCGGCACACATCTTCTGCGGGAGGTTTACTTAAAGGATCAGGGGACTTAGTAAGTGGGGTTGTAAGTCAGGTAACTATACTTATAATTACCTATAAGCCCGGTCAAAGTTATTTATAACCCTACTTCCTGCCCCCATCCTCCAAGTAGGGTTCAGGGTTTTGGGTTTGGGGTTTAGGGTTGATCCATGCAGGAACTAAACGGCCAAAGTGAGAAACAGCTCTGAGAGTTGGTGAACCGATTCCTGGATTCCTGTTCGTCCCAGCCTTCCTAAAATGGACCCTAAACCCTTCCATGCAGAGTTGAGACGGTGACCATATAACCTAATCCTCGTCTATGTGTTCCCCTCGCAGGGACCATCTAGGATACTTAATTCCCTAATTCCCCTCACATTCCCCTTTTTACACCACGCCACGGTACCCTAGCTCCCGAATGGGTGTAGGGTTGAGGTTCAGGGGACCCCGACGAACGCTGCCGTCTGAAATTCCACGAAGGTCAAGGGCTTGTTCTCCCTAAACCCTGAACCCTAAAACCTTTGTCGGGACAACCATCAGGACCAGGGGCATCTAATTCCATCAACGCCTGGATGCCCTAAAAGAGGTGGTGAGGTTCTGTGTTCTTTCATTTACTCCAACCCTCATGCCATTTAACCCTAGGTGCGGGGCTTGGTAAGATGATAAAAAAAACAAAGTTTAGGGCTTCAAGGGTTTAAGGTAGAAGCCTCAATGCCTGCCCATGCCTCGGCAGCTCGCCAGCGGCCAAGCCCAGCAGTAAGAAGCGCCACATCCTGCGAGAAAGGGACCTCCCCTCCATGTTACGGGTTTGCCCCTACATGCCGTAGGAGCCTTAGTTATTAGAACAAGGTTTTGGGGGGTGACTATTGTATGATTATAAAGGGACCATAAGGGAACATTACTAGTAATTACTCCGACCCCATATAAGGCCATGGCTGCAGGCAGCAATGAATTCTGGGAGCCTATCTAGGGATGACAACTTGGGCTTTTCTACATTCATTAGAACACGCTCTGACGGAACAAGCAAAGTCGTCCCATCGAGCACAATAGCCACAACAAGTACCACACTTGTTCATGCCCTACTTTTTGCCGAGGATTGAATCGCAAAGCAGGCAGATGTTGACACCTTGAAAGCGACCGCGCAGATTGAAATACCGCAGTGCGCACAAATGGCACCGGTCAGGAGAGCTGCACAGGCTTCACAAGGCTGGATGACCCTAAACCCTAAACCCTGAACCCGGTGTAATGCCATCGCTTTGCAATTGGCGCTGTCCCTCTGGCAATTTGGAAGGGTAGGTAGTTTGGCGTGCAACCTAGAGTAGGGGTTCCGCATGGTATGTGGCTTGGCTATCATGCTGCCTTTTGAGCCAAGAATGTGCAACCATGTTTTGCGCTTCTTTTCCCGCTTCCCAAACCCCAAATACTGGAGCACAGAATCCCTGAACCTTAAATCCTCAACCCTGAAAGCCTCAAAACTAAATCCTAAGAAGCTCGGAAAGGGGGGGGGGGTAGGGTTTAGGGCGTTTAGGGTTTTAGGGTCTAGGGTTTGGTTCAGGGTTTAGGGCTTGGGGTTTTTGGGATTTAGGGCGTTTAGGGTCTGATTGAGAAGCCCGGAAATTTTGACCCTCAGGGCCCGACACTGACAGCCCACTAGCTTGAGGGTTTCAGGGTTTCAGGGCCCTAAACCCTGAAACCCTAAACCCTAAACTCTACACCCTAAACCCTAAACCCTACACCCTAAACCCTGTTCTCAGGGAAATTTCCTGGCTTTGGGGGTTTGTAGGGGTCCTCAGGGTTTCAGGGTTTCATGGTCTCGGCTTCATCCCCTTCCGCCCCCCTAAACCCTAAACCCTAAACCCTAAACCCTAAACCCTAAACCCCAAACCCCAAACCCTAAACCCCAAACCCCAAACCCTAAACCCTCCCGAGCTCCACACCAGAATCTTGATCGTGGTTGGGCCGCACCTGTTTAGCGGCTCCAGGCTTTAGGGTTTGTAGGGGTTCGTAGGAGTTCTTAGGGCTCTTAGGGTTCGTAGGGGTTCTTAGGGTTCGGAGGGGTTGTTACGGTTAGGGTTCTTCGGGTTCGTAGGGCTTCCTAGTTCTTAGGGCTGTTCTGGTTCTTAGGGTTCGTCGGGGTTCTTAGGTTTCGTAGGGAATCTTTGGGTTCGTACGAATCTTCTTGGGGTGCTTCGGGTTCTCAGGGTTCGTAGGGTTTGAAGGGCTCTGAGGGTTTAGGGGCTTTTGGGTTCTTACGGCTTTAAGGTTTTTTGGGCTTTAGAATGCTTCAGAGCTTTTCAGGTTTGGGGGGGGGGGGGGGTTTGAGGGTCTTTGTGCTTAGGGTTGGGTTTGTAAACATATTTCGGGTTTTGGGGAATCTAGGGTCTGGTTCGTTAGGGTATCAGAGCTAGCATCTTTATGTCATGTCTTCTCACCCTGAAGTACGTGTGACCTACTCAAGGGAACCATGATGCTTCTCTGCCCAAGTGCGGAAGAAATCCAGTGAAGGGGCCATCAGCGCCAAACCCGAACCGAGACCCTCCGAACGATGTAAGAATGTACCACTATAGCAATATTAAAAAAATCATGAGATAATAATAGCAAGCGTACATTAGTGTCATGATGTAATGATGCTATTTAATGAATCCTAAACCCTAAACCCTAAACCCTAAACCCTAAACCCTAAACCCTAAACCCTAAACCCTGCAATACACTGGCTCAGGGCTGTGCTCGTGGTGTTGCTGCACTTGGCCCAGCCACTGCTCGACATGGTCGAAGCTGGCCTTAAGGCCGCCGGGAGTCCAGGGGTGCACTTCTCTGTCCTGCTGGAGGTTTGGGGTTTGGGGTTTAGGGTTTAGGGTTTAGGGCTTAGGGTTTAGGCTTAGGGTTTAGGGATTCGGACCTTCGGCGGTATGTGAGGACGGAGGTGCTGCTGCTGCTGCATCCGGTCAACCACTTTTAAGTCGCAGAATCACCAGGAAACGTCGCCAGCTGCGTGGAGACTGCGCTAGGTCTTGCCTGTCTCGACATGGACAGCTATGGGGTTGACTCGGGTTGCGCTGAAGTTTCGTGGGCCTGCAGATGCTAATAGCAAGATTCAAAAACAACAATCAGATCGTACTATATACTGATCTAAAAATAATATTCGAGACAGGGCAAGCCAAACACCATCATCCACTCAGCTGGACGTTGTAAAGTCCATGTGCATCACATGTGTGCAACGTGATCGCTTGCAAGCTGCTTCGCAGCTGTCTTTGTAAGTACATGGCGCAAGGAAGCCGAAGTGAATTCCAGAGAATGGTGGGGATGTTGAAGAGTGTCCAGACACACAATGGTGACACTGGTTGTTGATCACTAGCTGCTGGGCAGAGAATTAATTTAAGTGGCCAGTGCAGCACACCAAAGGACCGCAGTCTAATAGGAACGGGGGCATGGACTGATAGTACGGTGGCTCCTATGCTACGACGAAGAGGTTGATAACCAGGTTCTGCCATTACGGCCAAACCATGTCAACGCACCGCTGCCGGTCACTTGAGCAGACCTTCAGCCCCATACCTTGGCCGGATTAATAATTATATTATTATTATTATTATTATTATTATCATTATTATTATTATTAATATATATATATATATATATAGATATATAATTTTAATGGATGTAAGGTTTAGGGTTCACAATATGGCGCGGAGAACATATCGGGGTTTGCTTTCAAGCAAGAATATCATGCGGTACTATGCATAGTAAGTAGGTCTTTGCAGAATCATCAAGAAGTAGCGCCGTGGCTTCTCATGATGTGAGGTTTCTTTGGCAGCCTCACCCAAGAAGGGGTTCTAGCCAGGGCCGGACCCTCTATGAACAAAAGCCCGCCCAAGGCATGAACCAAGGGCGTACGTATGCCATCCGCGCGACGTCCCGACACATGTACACATGTAGACTCCCCACGGCATGCACGATTCTTCCTAACCCTAAATACTCAAAACCCTACACCCCCTAAACCCCCATAAACCCCCATAAACCCCCATAAACCCCCATAAACCCCCATAAACCCCATAAACCCCCATAACCCCCATAACCCCCTAAACCCCCGTAAACCCCCATAAACCCCCATAAACCCCCTCCATCCGGTTCTTTCTTCAGACGGATGTTCAGACGAGGCTCTCGTGCAAGAATCGTTGGAGGAACTTGCTCGGAGGCTTCTTCTTCGGCCTTAGAGAGCCCAGAACTACTTTAAACCCGAAGCGCGTATTTTAAAACAACTCATGACCTCAACCCTATGTCCTGAATGAAGTTAGACAATTTTGCAGCGGTGAACGTGTATCTTGTGAGTAGTTTATGATACGAACTTCGGGTGCTATAAGGGAATCGGATTGGACGTGATCTAGGCTCCTAGCCCTAAACCCTAAACCCTAAACCCTAAACCCAAAACTCTATGACGTCTTTCCTGAGTTCGCAACACCTTCGCCTCGGCGGCCTTCACGGCTTTCCTCGGCTGTGGCCCCAAACCCACGGACATTTGGGGTTTACAGGGCTTTTGAGGGCTTCTTTGTTTAAGGTTGATGGCTTCTTTTTTACTAACCCTAAACCCTAAACCCTAGGGGTTTAATTGTAGGGTTTGTGTTTATCGAGCTTCGGGGGCTTCTTTGTTTAAGGTTTGCGGGGCTTATGGTTTAATTGTAGATTTGATACAGGGCTTCGAGGGCTTCTTCATTCAAGGTTCATGTTGTTTTTGTTTAAGGGTTTAGTTGTAGGGTTTATGTCGGGTTTATATATGGGTTATAGGGCTCATGTAAAGTGTATATAGGGTTTGTATAGGTTTCGGTTTTTATGGGGTTTTATAGGTTAGCCCGCTGTGTGTGCCCCATGGAACTTCACACTTCTTGGTAGAGACAGCTAGTTCATGGTTGGGGTAGCATTAAATTTTATTTTTTTAGTTCCTGATTGGGTTTAAGTGCCCTTAAAAATCTAAAGTGTTACCCAACTGTGGCAGAGACAAGGTGCAAGTGGTTCATCCAGCTCCTCTCCACCGAATCGACTCTCCTTGGGTGGCAGTTCGTGTGGTACGTATGAACACATAACCGGCGCATGTATCCCAATTGAGAACCGGTAGGTCGGGCCCTTAATGGAGCTTCTGAGTGGGTTTTGCGTTTAGGGTTTAAGGGCATTGTGACCATGGGGTCATATGTACCATGAACATCCAAGCGCGGACTCGTCTGAGCCAAAGTCGTTCACTCAGAAACCCAAAACCCAAAACCCAAAACCCTAAACGCCAAACCCTAAACCCTAAACCCTAAGCCCCCGAAGACCCCTTGGCCGCCCAGGTGTCGGGACAGTCGCCACGGGAGTGAGGCTGGGTAGCCGAGCTGGCCTTTGGAGTGGCTGCATCACGTTTTGACGGGTTTAGGGTTTAGGGTTTAGGGTTCAGGGGTTTAGGGTTTGTTTATGGTTTAGGGCAAACTGCGGGAATGGTGGGCAGGTAAGTGCTCATGCAAACCATCTTGATCATGCACGTAGTCTCGAACGAGGAGCACGGCAACGATGCAACACCGCAGAATTTGAAGGAAGAGTAGGACTTACATGACCTGCAACGGGTACCGAAACCCCTTGACTCCTACACAGCTACAAACCCCTGAAGCCCTAAACCCTCAAAAACCTTACACGCAACCCCTCAACTCTACAAACCCTAAACCCTAACCCCCCCCCCAAAAAAAAAAAAAAAACAAAAACAAGACAACTACAAACCTCCACGCCCTTCAGCCCCACCACGGACTTGTT